CTATGTCTGATCCCTCCAGCTTAAATGTGCCTTGTTAGGTGGGTCCCTTCATATATCAAAACAGCCCTTACAAATTCCAAGAGTTCAACTGCTTCCTTGATACCAATGCCCACATCTCAAAAATGCTGCAAAAAAAGTAAATAAATAAAATATTAAACCATCACCCCCATACTTGAAGTGCTCTGGAAACTAGTCTTTCTGGAGCTAAAAGGAAAGGCTGGAGGATTCTATTGTTGAGGCAACCTTCCTCCTTTTATCTTCTATCACAGCTTTGTCTACCACTGTTACTTTTGTCCATCTTAGACAGTGAATCTAAGTGGTCACGTTTTGAAGACCAAAGAAGGGATTTCCCAAAGTTAGCAACAACAACAAACATTCTACGAGATTCAGATTTTGATTTAAAAAAAAAAAAGTCTTGATTCCCCCTTATTGTCCTAGTCGCACTGTTCCCAGGGAGGAACTTCCCTGGCTCTCTCTTACCTGGATACTTGTTCTAGCGTCTCTTCTGTTCAAAACTTCACCAGCCCTTCTTTCCTCCCTCAACCCCTCGTATCTGTTTATACACCCATATCCAAAGCTCACTTTACTCTGTTGAATGAACCAGCCAACTTCAATCCTTGGTCTCCTGAGCATTCTATTTCTTCAAACTCAATCTTCCTTCTCCCCATTTTTCCCCCAATCAAACTGTAATCTGTCCTCCAAGGCACAAATAAAATGTCACCTCCTAAAGACCACTTTGCAGATTCTCAAAGGAAATTAATTATCCCTTTTAAACATCGAATAACTACCAATTTTCTCTGTACAGCTGCAATGGCTGGTTGTTTCCATGCACATTTCTGCTACTAGTCCGTAAGTTCCCTGAAAGTAGAGATCAAGAATTTGTTTCTGGATTCAGTGGTTAGGAGGACTGGCTGCTCTTCCAGAGGACCCAGGTTTGGTCCCATCACCTACATGGTATACCACAGTGGTCCCCAATTTCAGTTCTAGGGCATCTGATGCCCTCTCTAACCTCCAAGGACACTGTATGCACATGGTACACATGAAGGGAAAATGCTCAAACACATAAAATAAAAATAAACCTTTTTTCTTAGGACTGTATTTTTGCCACAATGTTGAGTGCAGTGTTGAGTTGCATATAACAAGAGGTCAACAGATCAATAAGAATGATGTGCAAACCACCAGCGGTTTAGCCAGTGGAGTGAAAAAGCAGAAGTTCATGAATTTGGAAAGTTGTCTCAGCCCCGTCAGAGCTAAGAGAGCTAAAAAAATGAAGTTTAACTGTAAATGTACACTTGACCCAAAGTCAGAAGAAGGTCTCCCTTGGGGATAATGATAGATGGCTTATTCTTACAACTGGACTCTTTATAGAGTCGTATTAGTCATGGTTCTCTAGAAAAACAGAATTTATAAAATAAATGACTACATATATGGGATTTCTTAGAATGGCTTACAGACAGTGGTCCAGCTAGTCCAACATTGGCCATCTACCAAACAGACAACCAAGAATCCAGTAGTTGTTCAGTCCACAAGGCTGGAATCTTCTGTTGGTCTTCAGAATAGGCCAGAATATATGCCAGAATCCCAAAAAACTAAGCTTTAATTCCAGTGAAGGAATGGATTTGCCAGCAAGAGCAATGGAGCAAAGAGAGCAAGCTTCCTTCTTCCATGCTCTTTACATAGGCTGCCAGCAGAAGGTGTGACCCAGATGAAAGGTGGATCTTCCCACCTCAGAAGATCTGGATTAGAAGAGGCTCTTCCCACTTCAAATGTTTTAATTAAGAAAAAAAAAAAACTCCTCACAGATATCCCTGCCTGTTGGGTTTTAGTTAATTCCAGCTGCAGTCAGGTTGACAACCAAGAAGAGCCATCACAAGGGTTAATGATAAGAAGTTGCTCTCCTTCCTTTTGCCTCTACCTTGTACTATAGTTACTCTTGACTCCATTTGCTCAGTGCCCACTATATGAAGGTGCTTAATAAACCCTTGCCCAAAGATCCATCAGTAGTGACTTTCAGACCACAATGTTCTGTGCACAGGGCTCAGAGTTTTCCAGAATAAGTCAGAATCCCAGTAGCAGATGTTGGGATAATCTTCTTGTGTAAAGGTTGTCTTTGTATTATTCAAATGTTGATTTCTGTACCAGCAGAGAGCTGAGTAGTGTCGGGACTTTGGTATTGTTATTCTAATTTTTCAGCATATGCATCATAGTGTGTTCACCTTCTTCTCCATCACCTTCTGATTGCTTTAATAAAGAGCTGACCTACAGCTGAAGCAGGAGAGGAAAGGCAGGACTTCTGGGCAGAGATAGGAACTGTGGGAAGAATTGAGAGGCAGCGAATTCGCCAACCAGACTTGGAGGAAGTTAGACATACAAAGACTGAGGAGAGGTAATGGGCCATGTGGAAAACGTGGCTAAAATAAATAGGTTAATTAAGTTATACGAGCTAGTTAGAAAACAGCCTAAACTAAGGCTTAAGCGACAGCCAGATACCAAGGAAGGATAACCATGAGAAACACCAGTGCCTACAAGGGCTGAGCAGAAAAGAATGGGTCCTAGGGAGCACAGCCCAGCAGACATTCCTGTAATGAAGGCTACAGGCTATGGAATCTTCCACTTGGAGGACAACTCTGTCCTTGGCTCTGGAGTGATGGCTCTGGAGTGAATTTGACCTCTGGTGACTCCCAGCAGGCCACAAAGCTTGGATCCCAGCCTCAGCTAAACTGCGCCTTGAAAGTCATCAAGAGGGAGTTAGTTTTTTAAAGCATTCATCATAACCTTGCTGGTAATAATTGAGAGCAACAAGAGGCTTGAGGGAAAGTTCAGAGAAAAGGAATGCCTTCGACTCTCTCATTTGTGTCTGTGAGGTACTTAAAAAGAACTGACTTTAGTCATCTGAAAATTGGCAAGAGACTTCAAGGACGATGCCTAGTGAGAGTGAGATTGTGAGACACTCTGAACAGCAGAGGTGAACAGCTGCTGTGCACTGTGCATTACAAATTGGCACCTTTGCCTCGTGCACCTAGGTAGGGTGTAAAATGTCAGGGGATCTTCCCTGACATTTAAGATTGCAGAAGTTTGGGCGTAAGCAGTTAAACTCACAAGAAAGAGGAAAAAGCACTCTATAAGACAGCCCTGTGGTTCCCTGACTTGGGGGAAGTGGCCACTCCCGCTTTCTGCAAATTCGTCTGGAGAGTGGAGTCAGAAAGGAAGATACTTAATAAAACTAACACTTGAAGCCACTGCTGCCCAGTTGGGGAGCTCTGTGGGTCATATTTATCAACCTCCTGATTCTCCTCCTTTTAGGCACAGAGGAAAAACAAAGTAGAATCCTGAAGAGTATCAGAAAAACTCTCATACAAACTGCCGTGTTATGATCAGGAATAAGCAGAGCTATAGCAACAACCAGAGTCCTCAGCTGAGAAGAATGTTGACGTTCAAGCCCAGGAAATGTCAGGGACAAGAGCCACAGAGGAAAAAGACAGGAAGCATAAAGCTCTTAAATATTTTAGCTAAATTTCCCCCCCAAGATCTTGCAGCATTCTAATTAAATATTTAGATTCATCTTCTCTCTCTCATTAAGGAAAACAGTCATCTATAAAAATAACCATAGGAGACAACGAGGAAGATAAGTTCTTTAAGATTTATATGCAATCCTGTTTGATGTACATGAAAAGAGAGGTGTTCCTGTCTGGGGGAGTGGAGACGGCTTCATGCAGGAGAAGGCACGGCGACTGTGTCTTTGAGGACTTTGACAAGCAAAGATGAGGGAAAGGGCATTTGAAGAAGACAGCAGTGTGAGCGAGGAGGCAGTTTAGTCTGGCTGATGGACAAGTGCATGGATGATGAAAGCCATTTAAAAAACAAAACTCAAAGAACACCACCAAAACAAAACAAAACAAAAAAAAACAAGTCCTCAAAACTTCCTGCCCAGAAACCAAGAAGCTCAGGTTGTCCAGAAAACTAAAGTTTGTGGGTGGTAGTGGGATCCACGCTATGGACATTGCAGTAGATTACATCCCAACTGAGAAGGCACGAAACAGATTAAGCCTAAAAGGAAAGTGAGAAAGCAAGACCATTTTAGAGATTTAGCAACAACCTTGTAAACGGGGAGGCTTGTTTGAACCAGTGAGGGGAAAAAAAAAAAAAAAAAACACATCAAATGATATCATTGCTCCATTGAGGTCTAAAATGGAATAAGTGGAGACTTTAAAAAGCCAGCCACGCAGAGATAACCAAAAGAGCACCCCACATAGTAATGGGTCCCTTTTTTTCATTCCTTTTTTCTTTCCACTTCAGGGAACAAAAAGCAAAGCGTTCAATGGTTGGTTTTTCTAAATGGCTGACATAACTATGGACGAAAAGGCCAAGCATCCACTCCTTGTCAGGAAAATCTCAGCTCTGGAAGCTGCAGACCTGGTCAAAATCTTTAATTATAAAGTACAATAAGAGTTCTAAAAAAAATAGTGAATTAATTATTTTTCTCATTGCTGAACAAAATGTACCCAACAAACAACTCAAATAAGGGGTTGCTTTGCCTCACCATTTGAGGGGATGTCCACGATCATAGCAGGAAGATCATGGTGACCAGAGCATGCGCCGCTAGTCATATTGTTTCCACAGCCCAAACACATACGCTGTCACCTTTTCCCCATTTATTCTCTCCAGGAACCCAGTCCATGGGGTAGTGCAGAACAGGTCTTCGCTCACAGCTGAACATCTTAGAAACACTGTCACAGACACACCCAGAGGTGTGTCTCCTATGTCTTTCCAAACCCATTCAAATTGGCAATGAAGACTGACCACCAAAAACAATTCTAAAACACCAATAGCTTCCTTTTTAAAAAAATATTTAATTCTCAGTTTCTGGACTAGAGAGTTCAGTGGTTAAGAGCTCTTGACCCACTTCCACGTCCATGCTTCTTGCTCACCTCATGAGGTGATTCCTTCAGGATTCTTTCAGGATTCCTTCAGCTGAAAATGACAACATCCCATTCCAAAAGCTTCAGCGAGATACAAGGTTTGGAAGTTCACGAGCCTGAAATCCACAAATGACTGACTTCACAAGTGGAATATTTGGTGAGATATTGAACCTTAATGTCTCACAAAAGAAGATGCTTAGGAAGAGAAAGGGGACAGGAAAGAGGGAGGAAGGAATAAAAGGGAGATGGGAAAAAAGAAAGAAGGAAGGGAAAGCAGGAAAGGAGGGCACAACCACAGGAATTAAGCCCAACTACCATCCATGACTACCACCTACGATGCTCTGCTCAGCTGATCTAAGACCCAACGGCTTCTCCTGAACATGAATCAAGAGTGGCGAGTAGACGTTTCCCCACAGAAAATTCTAAGGCTGCTATAAAGAGAGTAGGGAATGGATGCTGAGGTTGGGAACCAACAGATGTCTACCAAGGTCATATCCATATCGCCAAACCAGAGAGGCGGCATGAATAAGTTGCAGATCTGGCTTCAAGCAAGAAGCTTAATAATTATTTTGTAAATGCTGCAATTTAAAGCTACTTTGCTGAAGCATGTGGCATGCCACCAGGCAAGTCCCTCTTAGCCCTGAGATCGTCTAGTTGCAGATATATTTCGGGTGAACGGTGAGTTTATGTGAGAATTCTGTTCCTTTGACAGCTGGTTTGAGGGAGCACCACAGAGCCCACACAGGCTGGAAGCCTGGCTCTTCTCTTGTCTGCCGCACCTGAAAACTCGACACCAGCACAACTTCAACCAGCTACAAACTCCTCAGGTGGTTCAGATTTGGTTGTGAATGAAGTACACTTGAACATACCAGCTCACAAGCACCTCATTTTGGTTCTGGCTCAAGATGAGACAGTGGTTATCCACAGGACTAGCTAGCTAATTAGCAGCAAATGTTCCCTGCTTATCCCCAAGGCTTATTTTAAGTAATGTCTCTCTTCTCAATTATTTTTCTTAAGGATTTTAATATCTTAAATTTCACACTTGATATGAAGCAACAAAACTTGCCAAATATATTAATTGAACATCTGTTAGTCTCAACCCTGTTCCAGCTTCCACTAACCTCATCTGTCCAGAGCTAGAGCTTTTTGATAGTTTTTCTTCTTAATTTATACATGTATGTATAATCTCTCTCTCACACACACACACTCATAGATAATCCTTATAGACCTAATTAAACAACCTATACTGTTTACTTGCAGCTCTATGTTGAGAAATGTGGAGCTAGATTCATTAGGAAGGAAGCTGTGATCAATTAATGATGCCTGTCTTGAGCACAGGAGGAGAATATGGTACGCATTCTATAGTCCCAGATACATCCTAAAGTCAATCCTAATCATACTCTAAAGGGACTCTGGGAGTTCCACCCAAGAGAACTCTGTGTTCAGTTTCTTCCCCAGACAAGAAGGAGACCAGGACACAGGTTGCTTCCAGCCCAGAGGAATCACCAGTGCTGAGCTAGGTACACGGCACAGGTAGAGACAGAACGGTCATAGGCTGCAAAGCATATTGTTAAAGTGAGGCAAGCCAGGCAAGCCAATTACCAACCCAAAGGGACTAGGCATATGCAGAGGGAATCAAACTTAAGGAAACAGGAAGGAACCAGGGAAACCAGATCAAAACAATAGGGTTCAAGCGAAAGAATAGGAGGTGGAACCTGGAGGAAGTCCCTGGGCTGTGGGCTCACAGACACAGCTGCTTATGGGGTCTTAACCAAGTGCCCAGGTGGAAGGGAAGCCATTAAGGGGAAGGCTTAGCTCCTCCACTGAGCATCAAATCATCTCGCTCTTGGACCAGTTCTAAACTGGGCATTGGTGCTAATGACTACAGTCTGAGATATTCCCCAAACCCAAGCCCATTTACGTACCCATATCTTAGAATTGCACCCAGTGCTGGATTTTCTATTCCTCTCTGCTTCTGCCAGCTCCTTACCCCTTATCATTGTGGTACAGAAATTCTGTACCTGAAGCCATGGCATTCCAGTTAGCCACCAACAGACTTCACTGGTGTTCTTCATTTGTTCTACAAATAGTTTGGGATGGAGGAAACCTACTGGCAAATGGTTCCTATCTTCACAGACCTTTCAGTCCAGTGAGAAAACTGATGCCAGTACAGAACCCAGACAAATAAGAGTAAAATTGTAACTGTGGTAAACATTATAAAAAGAAAGCACATTCCTTTAATAGAGCTATCTAACATAGAGAGGTCAGGGGATCCACTTATCCACTTCCTCACCCATTCATTCAACAGATAGTAAATACTGAGTGCTCACCTTCCCAGGCTAGGCTCTGCTGTCCTGTTGGGGATCTGGCGATGAACGAAACAACATCTCGGCTATCACGGAGCTTGTATTCTAAGTACAGAGTGAAATGGACAAATATTTAAACAATTGGATGAAATTATAAGAGTTATCTATCAGATTCAAATTGCCGTCATGAGATTAAAACAAGGCAACACGGATTTTGAGGTTATTGGGAACATCTTATGAAGGGATACACGTGACACAAAGGAAGCCAGCTTCATATTTTGCGGTGCTGTGGAATTTTGACCCAGAAGGAGCAGTCATTAGAAAGGATGAGGCAGAAATGAGCTCAGTCCCTTCTAAGGGGTGTTAAAAGGACCAGCAAGACTGGAGCCCAGAGGCAATGTCATCCTTATCCAATAAATCACTTGCGATGAACGTGAAAGTGTGCCAGACAGCCAGCTAGCGAATGTAGGCGTGGTTCTTCCGTCCCCACTCAGTAGGACTGTGATGGGAACGTGAGACTGGTCGCACATGCCTGTTTGGGTACCCAGCTAACTAGCCGTTGTGGTAAATAAGTGTGGGACCAGCTGGGGCCACCCTGACGCCTATCATGAGTGTGAATGCTACCCCTGATAACATTGTTTTGTCACTTCTCACTCCCACAAGCAACGGAGACAAATAAGTGGCTTCCTGACAGTGGCCCCTAGCTCTGAAGGAAGGAGACGTGAGTCTTGGGACGTTTCTGCATTGGACTCCTTCAAAGGTTCACAGCCATGAGCTTCCAGGGGGCTCCAGGAGCATCCCATCACACTCCTCTATCTGAAAATATAATTTTTTCTTGTGGTCCATTAACATTTCAAAAGGCCCATGGATTCAAGACTGTAGTATGTTATTGCAATTCGCAGTAATGAATATCTGATTTCAGATGTAGCCCAAACTTAAAGTGAGGAGCATCTGTGTTTTGTCTGTGTCTAACCACGGGACCCTGAAAGGATTATCCCATGTTCTGCCTGGAGTGATTTCTCACCCAAGTAAAATTCTTCCCGGTGTATATTGTATATTCTTGCATAGTGTCCTCTCAACTTCACATTCATCCAGATACTCAGAATATTATAACCCAACTTGACAATAAAGTCTTCGCAGATGTTAGTAGTGCAAATGAGACCCTCTTGAACTAGTATGGGCCATAAATCCAACTGGTATCTTTATAAGAGAAAGGACCTGGGCATGGTGACACACACCTTTAATCCCAGCAGTTGGGAGGCAGAGGCAGGCAGATCTCTGTGAATTCGAGGCCAGCCTGGTCTACAAACCGAGTTCCAGGACACCCAGGGCTACACACATAGAAACCCTGTCTTGAAAAACAAAGAGCAAAAGAGAAAGGAGAGGAAGTCTAGCCACGTGTATCTACACAGGGAAGGTGGAGACAGGGAAAGGGGCAAAGGAACACTGAAAACCAAAAGGAACAAAGAAGACACCAAAAAATGACTATTTTCTTAGAGCTTACAGAAGGGAAATGGCCTTGAATACCTTGATGTCAGATTTGGGACCTGTAGAACTGCAGGAGAATAAATTGCTATTTTAAGTCCCACTTCTAATCCACACCTCACCCACTGATTGTGACAATTCCTGGTTGCAGCCCTACGGAATGACGACAGTAGCTACTGGAATCTGTGGCCTGGCATAAGAAGAGAAAGGCAGCCAGCAATCTATACTTACATTAGCAGAGAGAGAGGCTGAGTAGCTATTGATGTGCCTGACGACCAGTGCTCTAGGTAAGAGACCGGTCTTGCACAATAGTTGAAAGTTGGACCTCCGTAAGGTGAAGGGAAAGGAGAAACAAGAGAGAGTAATAGAATATATGTGACAGGAATGCAGAAGGAGGGACTATTGAGGGGGGAGAAGTGACCAGCAAGATGGCCATGTTTGGTAGGGGGAAGGACAGTGCAAAAAGATGAGTAAGAACAAAGCGTATGAAAAGTCACAGTAAGTAAGACCCATTGCTTTGTATGCTAACTGCAAATTTTAATTTAAGAAAGAGTCGAGCCTTTGTCATCACGCTGAGCGTAGTTCAAACCCTGTCATTTACCAGGTACAAGCTATTCACTCTCTCTAATTGAGGACTTGGCATACAAGGCGGCTGCGAGTATTAGAGAGGGAGGCCACAGACGGGAATGCTGGAGGCCGGACATGGCTGCAGTCGGCTTCCCAAAAGGCAGAGTGGAGTCCAGCTGTCCCTCGGTGCCCTGGGACATGGGTTAGAGGACGCCATGGATACAATTTCCTCAAAATGCTTTACCTCCCGGGATATTCAGATTCCATATATTGGGTAATGTAGTAAGCGTAGCGCATATATCCAGACTGCTCTGCCATGAGATTACTTGGGAGACCCGCTGCTACAGTGGAAATGCTGCAGAAGTAACTGCTAGACGGTACTGTTTAGGGGGTGAGGATAAGAAAAACAGCTGTGGCGAACCAGGCACGGTAGTGTGACCCGGTGCTAGGGCTGCCAGAGCCGTGAAAGGCACGTGAGGTCAGCCAAGGTTACCTGGTAGACCTGTCTCAAAACAAAATTTTCAAATACAAGTAAAATATTTTAAAGTCTGTGTATATATAACAAAATAGAGACAAAATGTTGGTTATTTTTTTAATGTTTTTGAGCCTTTCATTGAATCTTTACATGCTGAAGCCAAGGTTGCTCAGAACCAACTGTGCATAAAGAGAGGCGGAGCCTGCTGGCTGCCTTGACCTCAATCTTGACTCAACTGACTCATCGGGCTCTCGCGCGCGTGTGTGCTCTCTCTCTCTCTCTCTCTCTCTCTCTCTCTCTCTCTTTCTCTAGCACTGTAATTACAGGTGTGTGCCCCCCCCCTCCAGCTTCACTGTCTTTTAAAATCATTCCACGTGAAGAAGAGATTAAAGACAGTGTGGAAATTTCGAAAGAAATCCATGGTATCTACAAACCAGAATTGCAAATTTTGACTTTGATAAAACTATACATATTATTATTTTATCCCACGCAATTAGTGCGTATCAAAACAAAAGTTGCACATCTTTAACTAAAATCACATATTTTTAAGATGGGAAAACCTGAGTAATAACAAAAATAAAAACAGCAATGCCTCATGTTTATACAGTATCTCCGACCTGAGGCCTTCCTGTACAGTATTTTCATAAACTGTCTGTGTTCCCAATTTCCGGCAGGTCACATAAAAGTGTTAAGCTGTCTAGGCCACTGGCATTATGGGAGTTCATCAGACTGACATGTAAGATTCAATAATAAACTCGGGTTTTTTGTTTATGGTTTTTTGTTTTTTCATCAAGTGTGTGTTACATGCAGGAAGTTCTGAGTGTTTTAGTCTTAAGGGATATTGCGTCACTCTGGTGTAACAAATATGAAAACTGAATCAAGGCAGAACCTAGAGTAAAACGCAGTCACGCCAAAGGCGTTGGTTATTAGGACGTGCAGCAAACATGTGTCAGAAGTCTCCTCTGTATCTTCAAGCTTATGAGTGTTGCAAGTGAGTGAACTGAGGCACAGAGAAAGGGGTAAGTTGATTCAAATCTGAGTGCGAGTCATTCACAGGGCTGGGTTCAAGCCAGCAATCTGAGTCCACTGCGATGGCCACCACACTCCTGGCGGGAAAGTGAAGCTCAGAGCATTTTCACCAGGCTCACCACCCCTGTGCTGTAGTCTGTGCTTGCACACGCCACAAGAACGTGCAGGGCTCTTGATACGTGTCACCGGTGGGCCAGAAACGTGCACAAAGATGTCCCGAAGCCACACCAATCGTTGGCAAGTGCTTCAGATGTCAGATACCTGATATGTTGACACAGTCTTAGGTGAGAAAGCCAAGTTTATGTTAAGCTTTGTCTCTGGGCAGTAAGTTTCAAGTCAAATATTTTATCTCCTTCCAATACATAATTCAATCTCTTTCAAAAAAATAGTCTATGCTACTATTTTATTGTGTGTTCACGCACTGTAAGGAAGAGATGTATACTCTAAAGCACCTGAAAAAGCCCTAAGAATTGGATCAAGTCCATTTTGAACCATTTATTACTATTTCTTATACCTTGGAATTATTTGAGGTCTCCATGGCTAAAATTATGATCATCTAGAAATACTTGAAAGCCTCAGTATGTGGCACCCGGGAAAATACAAAATAATCAAGGTTGATTTTTCTTTCATGACATCTAGACATCTCCTTATGCCTAAGTTGTGCCTTCTAGGTGTGGAGAGATAGACTCATTTTGAACTCAGGAGAAAATGGAACAACCGTCAAGGCTGTGGTGTCTGCAAGTTCAGAGACTGCATCTGCCGAGCTCTGGTTAAATCATGTGGGTCTTTGTCCTGTGCTACTTCCCTTTCGGACTCAAAACTCAGGCTTTTTAAGATGCATTGTCAATGAATGTTGGTCTTCAATGCAACATGCCATTCGTGGCTGCAGGTAATCTTTTCCTCACATTGTAAAGTTTCTCCATGTTTGTGTCAGGTGGAGTCTTAGATCCAACAATACTGCCGTTGCTCCCAAAAGGAGCCCCGTCCCACTCCCCGTTTGTTTTGATTTTGGCTTTTTTGTTTTGTTTTTCTGTTTTGTTTTTTTAGTCCGTCTCTTTAAAGGATGGCAGAAATTAATTTAGAACTTCCAGACATAAACAGAAACAAAACAAAACAAAACACAACAGAAAGGGGGCTACTTGCTCTGCGGAAACAGGCCTTATCTTTCATTCATTTGTTTCTATAATCCAGGAACCTATGACCCCACACACGTGCCCATCTGCCACAAAGGGTTGACTCAGTTTTCGAGGCATTCAAAGTTATCAAAGGACGCAAGCGGGAGGGGTGCCAGGGTGGGAGTGGACGTGCAGACAGAACCTGCGTGTGTAAGCATTCTTTCCAGAGGAAACCTGGCTAAAAGGCTGATAAACCCCAATCTCTTTTCACAGCTTGCCTTCAGAGCTCCTTAATGCACTCCTTCATTTGTTCATCAGCACTTTATGAGAAAATAAACAAAAACATGGCCTGCTTCCTCATTGTCAGCACATCAGGGCACTTCCTGCTCAGAGACCAGCCTTCCACCCCGAGAGTCAGCGGCAAGGCCTCTGTT